TCCCAAATGGTCCTAAAATGTCATAAATACAATATAAGCCAACCACAAACCATCATATATGAATTTTGCATGAATTGGAACTCAAACGACCGAGAAAAAGTCCGAAACAAAGTTAAAACATAGTAAAAACAGCATCTAAAACCTTCTTTTTACGCATGTAAACAAGCGTAATCAGTATCCAAAGCCTTAGTCAATGAATTTTACACTATCATCAACCCTAACCGAGGGGATGTAGTGAGAGTACGGGGTAAAGTAGTAAAATTCTTGCCTTCCATTATTAATACTCACTATGGTATGTTGGATGTTTTTAATACCATAGGTAATGTGATTTTGGTGCATCCATTGAACGAGCAAGTGGAGGAGGCGCGTAGGTTTATTTGTAGACCACATAAGACATGGATCGTCTCAACTATGGGGAAGCTTTCCTTAAAGCCCCTGAGCAAACGATGGTTTGGATGTATGTGGTGAAGAATCGGTTGATCCACACTTCTCACGATTCCTCCATTAAGCGCAATCGGGCGATGATGGTGTACATCCTCATGAAAGGCATTGAGTTCAACTTTGGGGAGCTCATAAGGAACGAGATACGGAGTTGCTCGGAGAAAATGGTAGGTCCTCTTGTTTTTCCTGGATTAATAACTGAGTTATGCTTGTAGGCGGCAGTAGAGGCTGATGATGTGAATATAGTGACTCTCAAGAAGCCGGTCACATCCCTAAGGAGAGTTCGGGGATATTCCATTGTTTGAGAGGAAGATTCTCCCATAACCGTCACAAATCCCGAGACCCGAGGGGTGGTGACTAGGGAGCAATATGATGAGCTCAGGCACAAGTACGAGCTTCTTTTGGTTACTCAATGTGCCACTTGTGAGTTCCTCAAGAAGATATATAGTGATGAAGCACTTTCTTTCCCTGATGAGCTTGCGGCCGATTTACCATCCTCTTCCCATCTTCCTACCGATTCCACCGACGATGAGTCTTCTGATGATGAATAAGAGAGTATCTCCCTCTCTTTGTTTTGATATTTGGATCTTGATTTTGTATGTTAGGTTGTGTAGTTTAGGTTGTTTAGATTAGTTGGCATGTTAGGTTGTGTAGGTTGTTTTTGTTCTTTTAGTTCGCATGATAGGTTGTTTAAGCTTAGTTTTTGTTTTAGGTTAGTTGTTGGGATGTTGTGCTGTTAGAAATGTTTGTAAACTGTGTTTTTGCATATGTTTAAAGTTCAAGCTTGCATGCTTCCTTGTTCTAGCTACTAGCTTGTCTTTAGCTTCTTCAATGCATCTTTTCTAACCTCTCAACATGTTCATCTTTTTAATGAAATGCTTTCCTTTTTCTTTGTTTTTGTATCATGTCGATGAGGATTAGTAAGGGCATGAATAGGTTAGATTTCCTAGTTTTATGATCAAGTCATGGTCATTTTCCATGTTTTTTTGTTTTGGTTATAAAATGTGTTCTGCTTCTTTTTGTTTTGAAACCTTAACTTTTTCATTGCTTTGGAAGTCCTTGTTCATTTTGTGCCAAAATTTTGCATCTCTCAAAATTTCTTTCCTCAATGAGGACATAGTTTCCCTCAAGTTTGG